TGAAGGGAGGGAAAAATGTCATTAGTAGGATTGGTAATAGCATTCTAAGTTGTCTTTGAATTTCACACTGACTGCATATCACAGAACCAGGGCAAATAGCAGTGAATACAACCTTTACTTAGCTTCTCCTGACAAACATGCAGCAAAGGGTACAGCAGGCTCACGCTGATACGTGGCCAGAAGACGTACCTAGAAAAGGCAGTCACTCTTCATTCTAGTTATTTGTTTTCTTGTAGCTCTAGGCCCAAACGGAATAGCAAAACGGGCAGATCTTAAGACTTCACTGTGTGAGAATATGATAATGTCTAATTAAGGTCTATCTGGCCTTCTGCCTGGTTCATGTACCTAAACCAGGGGTTAGAGTTTCCTGAACATGTGAGGGGATTGTTACTGTGAGTGTGCAGCGTTCAGCTGTGGGAAGCAGTGGAGAGAGGAGGAGAATATCTAGCTGCTGAGCATGTCTTCATGGTGGAGGTGTCATCCTGGCTCTTCTGTGAGCGAGCATCTCAATGTGTGTCAGGGCTGGTAGAAAATCAAGAAATACCAAGCAGCTATGAATTCCCCTGCCTAATGCCTGCTTACAACTTTGCACACACGCTGCACTTTCCCCCCTGCTCTTTGCCTTCAAGCAAAAATGCTGCCAGTGTGGCAAGGCCTCTAGTGTGAGAATAACGCTGCCATGCCCTTTGGGTACCACTGCAATACAGATGAAGAAACGTTGGTTTACATTTGAGTAGAAGACCAGAAATTCAGTGATTCTGGCTCATTATCACAGCAACAGGTAGCTAGGAACATCCTTACTTTTTCTAGTACGTTTTTCAATTGTTTTCTGGTTGTTGTTGCCTCTCTCTTCCCCTACAATGCCCTTCCAGTGGCTCCTGCCATCCTCCTGGTCCCAAGCCTTCCATCACTCCCTGTTCCTGCCAGAGGGGAGGGAGATGATGTTTTATTGGGGCTACAGAGGAAGAAGAAGCAGGAGACATCCAGCTAGAAGGGAAAGGGGAGAAGCAAGGGAGGGAAAACAGGGGAGAAAGCCAGAGACATATTGACTGGAGGGGGCATTGGAGAAAGGGAAAGCTGGAAGCAAAGCTGGAAGCAAACAAGGAAGAGAAATGAGGCAGAGAAAGACAGGAGGGACACTCACTGTGATACAGGCAGGAAGAAAGACAGGAAAGAAAATGCCAAGAAAAGATAAAGGGGAAAGGAGGCAATTTATAGAGTGAATACAAGATTATGAAGGGAAGTAGGATGATTTGAGATGTTATACATTAGGAGGCAGGAGAGAAGGGATATTTCATAGAGGGCAATAATTAAAGGTGGAATTGTGCTTGGCACTGAGGAGAGCACTTAGGGCTGAAGAGAAAGAAAAAGGGAGAAGAAGGAATAAAGGTAAAAAATCAAATCCTCATGTGGATCAGGGAGATTTCATGAGAAAAGGGAAGGGAAGGGAAGGGAAGGGAAGGGAAGGGAAGGGAAGGGAAGGGAAGGGAAGGGAAAATCCTATGAGCTAGAAAATCAACAAAAGAGAACACTAAAATAGAGCATGAGAAACAGGGATGAATCATGAAGGAAAGAGAGAAATAAAGGAGGAAGGGAGAACAGGCTTGGAATATATCAGAATTCTTCTCTAAAATAGATCTAAACAGAATCTTTATTTAAAAAATAAAAAATAAAAATTCAAGCAACAGTGGGAACACACAACTTTTTTAAACATTGAAATATTTTTGAATGCATTCAGCCACTTTTTCTGGTCCAAGCCCTTGCAGCCCTTACATTCCCTATAAAATCCCTGATGTACCATAGAGCCCTTCCCTATAAAAAGGACATCGTGTAAAGGCACACACTTGTTACTGAACTAGAAGTAGGGAGGGAAGAAGATCCCTCCATGTGTAAACCCCATTATCCTCCCCATTACTTAACATAATTTGCCTTAGGCAGCAAGTTGAATCCTCCAAATATTCGCTGCAGTGAGAGATACAGAGCGAGGCACTCACTTATCTTTTCAGGTGGATTTCACAGTCTGGTTTTCTCTCTTTGTTCTCTCTTTCTCCCTGGTTCTGTTGTTTTTCTTTTATCTTTCCCTTTCACGTTTTTCAGCCCAATTTCACTTTCTGCCTGCTGTTCTCAAACAACTTACTCAGTTTCTGGTTATATTTTCCTTGCCGCCTGTCACCCACCCTCTGCTGATGCCCTCCAGGGGTTCCCTCATTGTCTGTGCCACCCCTTTCCATCTCTGCCTCTCCCTCCAGGTGATTACCTCTATATGCCATCCCCTACCTGCCTCGACCAGAGCATGTGCACTGCCTGTGTCACCAGGACTGGGTATGTGACTTCCCAGGGTAACTCCAATGTCTCGTTTCTTCTCATAAAAGGGAAATATCTACAGCTGTATAGTTTGCCTTTGAACACCAACAGAAAGGAATATCTACCTCTATCACATATACATCTATTACATGTCTATTCTCTATTTGCTTTCATTTGATCTCATGGTCTCTCGTCTATTTCTTCGTGTTTATTTGACCTTCTCTTCTGATCCAAGTATTTGATCTGAAGTTAAAAAAAAAGTGCAGGTTGGAGTAGATGATCTTAGTGGTCTTTTCCAACCTTAATGATTCTATGATTTTATTGAGGCCATTGGACTGAGGTCTGGAGATCTCTCTGAATGCCATGCCTACCCCACATGCCTCTCGCAAAATCAATGCACTGCAGGACATCCAAGAGGTGTCCTGTCCATGCCAAACTGATATGTCTCACATAAGCCCAAATGAAAGCTTAACGGATACTTCTGAACTGTGGCAGCCTGAGGTCTCATCCACAGCCGTGGGACTGAGGAACCTTAGGTGGTCCCAGAGCAGGCATCTTGGTGCCCTTGTAATCAGTGTAACTAATCCTCACCATAAAAAGGTGAGGAATCTCAGCCTTCAAATTGCTCTGTTCTGAGCCTCAACACAGGCAGCACCCTGGACCACTGCAGACGTTGGCACTCATCCTGGCACCAATCTGCTGTAGCCCACACACACTCTTAAGATATCCTTGATCCCACAGGTAAATGAGTCACAGGGACCTTCCTAAACCCACACCACCTGGAGTCTCCCTCAAGTGACCCATGTTGAAATGCCCTTAGCTGAAGTCAACAGCAAAGAGCTTTCTACATGTGCTGCAAAATAATAACATAGGAGAAAGCAGACGACACTTGTAGAGGATTCTTCATTACTGCATTCAGATTTTTCTTCATCAGATGAAGATAAGGACTGTATTTGAATAATCCTAACGCTGCATGCCTTCTTCTGGCACTGGCGTAACCCCTTTGCATGTGTGGAGCTCAGGGTTAGGAGTGGCAATAGGGGAGAGACAGGTACTGGCAAAGGGCTTCTATTCTCCTGGGGATAAGAGCTGGAGTTCCTTGATACCAGTGCTGTATATTATGTTTTTAGGCGTGAAAATACTCAGTCTTTTCCTTAAGTGTTTGCGCAGTGCCCATAAAAACGTGGCTCTTATTTCAATCAGATGCTGGTGCTGCTGTCCCATGGCAAACGTCGTATGTCTGGAACAGTTCTGCCAGGGTGAGGATGGGGATCCTCATGATCCTCATCTTCCCAGCATGAGTACGCGTGCCTGTATCATTACTAAGCACATCTAGGGGGCAGCTGAACCTTGAGCGGGGGAAGGATGTGGAATGACACTATTGTTTATCTACCTAATCATGCCGTTTTTTTCTCAATACCAAAACAAAGAAGGAGCCTCTAAACTTTTCCAGAGTGTATCACAGGATCGGGACAGGCTGGCCTGGCAGGCTGATTTCCCACCAAGCAGTTCACACCGACAGCCAAAGGAAGAGGCACGATGAATTGGGAAGCCAAAAATCAGCAAAAAAATCTCTGCTGCTTCTGCAGCTGCCTGATGGTGAAAAGGAGCCATCTCGATGCCAGAAGGAGATAATCTGCTGACAGCCGGTTATGCTAGTAAAGATAAATAAACAGCAGCTATTTGATCCCCTCCAAGGACACCACGGTAGAAGGGGTGTAACTTCCCATCCCTCAGCTGTTTACAAATAGCTGAGAAACGTTTGTTTCTGGGAGATAATTAATTTATTTCAGTCTGGGCAAAAGAAGAATTGCTGAAGGCCAGCGTGGGCTGGAAATGGCGTTTTAGCACCTTTGCATATTTGGACATTTTTCCTTGAATTCCTCACTAAATCTGTACAGGACACATTTCTCCACAAGGACAGGCAGTGTTTGAGGTCTCTCATTTTATCCATTAAGGTTAATGTTCCCAGTACAGTCTTCTCATCTCTGCCAGAAAGGATTCCCTGAGGAATTTAAAACTTCTGAATGAATTCCCCAGAAATATCCATTGATATAATTATTCCCAGGCACTGTAAGTTCAATTTTGCTAGAAAGAGGCAAGCATCCTGTGCAAGTGAGGAAAGACATGGCTCATGTGAAACTGGGGAGATAAAAATTCCTTTTTCAAGCTTCAATATATTTAGCAGTGCTATAGTTGTTGTGGATGTAGAAGAGCAAATCATAAAGGTGGTATATGAAATCAACTGTTATCACTGGGAAACACAAGTGAACTTTTAGGTACACAAGCCTTTCTTTAGGTCCAAAGTGGAAGAAGTAAAATTCAAGTTAAATATAGATTTAAATGTTGCAGAGAACATGCTTTCCATAGAGGGAGGACATCTCAGTTCCTCTGAGGTGGAATTAAACCAGGCCCTGTCACTCCTAGCAGCTCTGCCTTTTCTACTGTGTGCACCGACAGAAATACCATGGCTCATTCTTCATACAAATTTACCATGTGGTTTCCATGCAAATGCCCAAATGGTTTGTGAAATAACAACAAAACAAACCACAGTATGAGAAGTTTCATTCTATTGAAGCAGAGCAGAAGGCACACCAAGTCTGCATACCATAAGCACGCGCGAAAAGAGAAGTCTCTTGCAATGATTTTGTTTCCCCTCTGAAAAAAAAAAAAAAAAAAAAAAAAAAAGTGACATCTTTTGTTCCTGAATTTGTACCTGTGACAATCTATGGTAACTGTTGACTCACGGCCTGAACCACTGATTGAGCACCTGGAGAAAGGACCCGGTCAGCCCTGGGAGCACAGGTGAAGGCAATTCAGGTGTGTGTCTGCAAGAGGTAGAGCTTGTCTGCACCTCTCTTAGACCTCATTTAAAGTCTGACTGCCACGAGGAACAAATCTCTGGTTGGTGATCCCTCACTTGTGGAGTTTTTTGTGTGAGCCTAGATGTTCAACTATAGGTGAGTTCTTTTCCTTTCTTTTGTAACACCTTTCCATTTGCACTACTCCTTTTGTTATTACCCTTTCTGTGTCGCCCTTCCACCACATAGATCTTTTGGATTGTTACAGCCAATACTGTTGGCTGTTGGGAAGAGACCAAAGCTGCCTCATCTAGCCTATCCTTTCCCTGATAATGTCCCATTTTAGGTACTTTGGGAGGGCTGTATGAAATGGGGCCTGAAGGCCACTGGTAGTCAGTGGTGAAAGTATGGCTTGCATCCTTCTGCAGGTTTGTTTTGTGATTTTCTGAATGTATCTATCCTGTCAGGCCCCACATCTTGCAGCAAGGAGTTCCAAATGTGATTATGAGTTGGGTGAAGAGGTATTGCTTTTTGTTTGTTCTAAACACTGTCCAATCAATTCATTTCTTGCTGCTTTCTCTCTCATACTGAGATGTGGTGACTGATTGCTCCCTGGCCCCCTTCATGTTGTCCTTTGCCTAGCAGGCCTTTCATTGCTTCCTCTCAGTTTTATTTATTTATTTTTTCAAGCTGGAAAGTCCCAATACATGCATTTTTATGCAAATGAGCTTGTATCCCAAGAGTTGCCTTTCCAATTCTAATGCAACTCTCTTGAGACAGACAGTGAGTCTTCTAGCTGCTACAAGAGATGGGCACAACGTGTCTCCATGAAAGGGAACAACACAAGCTCCCATTTCATTTCACCTTCTTCAGGAAGCTTCCAGCCCTCCTTGTTCAACTCTACTTGGCCAACGGCAAGCACTGCATTAATGCTTTCAACAACTGAGGCAAACAGGAACTTTGTGGTGTTCTGAAACTACCAGAGACTTTCATTCTAATTCACTTCTGTTTATTCAAGTCCACTGCAAGAGCAACTAACAAAATTATGTCATGTGTCCACTCAGTTGCCTAAGAGAATTCAGAAAGAAACTTTTTTTCATGCTGTCCCTCCCAGTTTGTGTTTACCCGTGTTAGTCCTACAGCAGAACTATGCCAATGAGATTGGTGAATGTATTGACATTATCTAGCTGTTGTTATCTGTGAAGTGTAACATCGGTGCATCTTACTGTTATTAATCAATTTTAAATCAAAGAATGCACAAACAGGCTTCATTGCTGAATTTCCCAACTCTTGAGTGATATATTACACAACTTGCTTGTCACACAAAAAATGGAAGGCTTGAGGGGAAGAAAATAAAATAATTATAAATTGGAGTAGAACTGTAGGCCTCTTTTTACATGGAGTATTGTGGTCAGCAGTGGGGCCTGCAGCATAAGAAGGTTGTGAAGCAGTTGGAGCAAGTCTGGAGGAGGGCCACACAAAGATGATTGGAGGGCTGGAGCAATTCTCCAGTGGAGACAGACTGAGGGAGCTGGGCTTGTTCAGGCTGGAGAAGAGAAGGCTGTGGGGAGATCTCATTGTGGACTTCAGGGAATAAAGGGTGCCTATAGGAAGATAGGTGAGGGACTCTAGCAAGCTGTGTAGTCATAGAATGAGTAAATAGATTTAGATTAGATATTAGGAAGGAATTTTTTCCTTGCAAGGGGAATGAGGCCCTGGATCATGTTGCTCAGAGAAGCAACGCTTGGAGATGTTTGAGGCCAGGTTGGATTGGGCTGTGGGCAGACTGATCTAGTGTAGGTGTCCTGGCTCATGGCAGGGGGGCTGGAGCTGGATGAGCTAGGACAGTCTACAAATATGATGGCAATGCATTATACTGTAGCTCTAATGTAAGCCAAAACTAAATAAAAAGGATACTTTACAGCTGCATTCCATAGGAGCCATGCTTACTGACTATTTTTTGACCTTCCCTTTGCCTCTTCCCACTCGGTTCCAAAGGCAGCTCCTTAACTTGAAAAAGAGGCAAGATGAGACTTGGAGGCCAGAGCAGAAACCTGGCAAAAACCAAAACGAGGGGCAGCAGCACCCACAGTGTACTTAACTCCTGATAGTCTGCCATTAACTAACACTGCTTGCTGTTAGGCCATGAAAACCCACTCTGAATCCTTGCACTGTCACTCGCCTCTCTGTCTACTGAGTCATAGTTAACTCATTCTCGCATGCAAAGCCATGCATAGCTCTGCTCTGGCATTGCCTTTCCCCACTGCTCCTAAGTAACTGTTGTTTCACAGCTGGCCTACTTGTCAGCACAATGATCAGCCAGGGCAACATGAGATAAATACAGGGGTTCAGTGATTTTATTTTATTTTTTAATACTTCCCAAAGTTGACTACTTCTGCACTGCTTGAAATGCTGATGTTATTTGTGCTACATCATTCAACAAAAGACAATACTGAGATTAAAATTGAAATTAGCGGTGTGAATTTAGTGCTCAGCTGGTAATCTCAGCTCAAATATATGTGTAGTTAAACACTTGAAGGAAACAGAATTGATTTTTAGGTTCTCCATCCCCTCAAAACCCAGGATCTTTACATATCTAGTGATATGTAAGGATTCAGGGGCCAATTTTATGCAAAGATTTTTGAAAACTGCAATCAGTATCTACATTTGAAGTAGCTAGCAGCCTGAAATTATCATCACCACCTACTTTACCTGGTGCAGCTTGGTTTCCCCCTTCCCTTCCTCTGCATTCACCTTTTACATCATGTGTTCTTCAGGATAGGCTCTGTTGTATCAGGTCTCCCCTGCTAGGTGCCAAAATGATCATTAACACTTAAAAGAGCTAAAAAGATGTTCTTTCTACTGGTTGTACTGTTTATGGGAATGGACAAACTTCTCTACAGATGCTATTTGCCTGTAATCTCTGATTTCTGTGCAACCTACCAGCTGAGATGCCTATAAGCCTGTGTTTAAAACCTGGTGGCTGCTGTCATTGCTCGTGGCTTGCGTCCTTGGTTTACTGTTCTGAGTGGACTTTTATTCACTTATCAGGCTAGTGGCACGTGGAAAATCTCCATTACAGATTGTTATTTCCTTTCTTTCGGTCCCTGAATACTTAGTGGTTTCATTTCCATCCACAGTTTTCTGACTCTACTGATGTTCTCCTCTCTGAGCTCTTAGGAAATAAAAAGTGAGAGGGTTCTGCTGAGGGTATCTGGAAAAGGGCATTTGGATTGGGAAATGGATGAAACCACCAGTGGGCCAGCAAGCTACAGCTGAAAAATTTTATGGGGTGACAATATTACAACAAATCAGCCTGAATGAGGGGGCATTATGTTGCCTAACAAAAAGGGCAAAGAGCCAAAAAGAGCTTCTTTTACCTGATAATGGAGCTGCAATTGCTCATGGGATAGTTCATACTGCTGGCTTAAAAATGAGTAACTGCTCCCTGGATCGCTCACGTCTTGGCACGCAGTTTCCAGCTCATTGTGATTCTAAACAGTGTGCGGGATCGGTAAGCGTGCTTAGTCAGCCTGGCCAGCCACCCGAGAGCCGTAAGCAATGTCCCCTTTATGACTGCTCACATCTACTTAAAGAGAAAAGATACAAAAAAAGGTAAGGAAACCCATTCCTTTCGATTGCTGGAGACGATATCACTGCTCAGATTTTCCTTCCATCTGGAAGCGGTCGGAGCCACTCAGCTCTCTGAGGGCAGATGCATCTCCAGAAGCAGAGAGCAACAGCTTGTGAAGGGTGAGGTATGTGCTGGCCTACCTAAATTGAAGATCTGAGATAGATTTACTGGTTAAATACCCTGCATTGTGCTGAAAGTCAGATTAGATAAGAAGCAGCCAGCCTTCCTGACTTGACATACTAAAACCTTAACATAGCCAAAATCTGTGCAGGCTTGTGCAGGAGCCAGGGATGAGCATGTCTGGGAGCTGTTGAGAGATCAGAGACTGTGGTGGAGCTCACAGGTAGAGGTGCCTCCCAACCCAATGTAGGATCTATGATCCTATGACTTCTGTACTTCATAAAAGGTATCTCCTGTAAGTGAAACGTTCCGTGATGGCAGAAGAGACAGTAAGATAAAACTGTTCTTCCATAACTAGCTGCAAAATCGCATCTATCCCCAGTACAAACCCACTAGAGACACAGACAATTTGGTACTGTGCTGCTGGGACAATGTGGGGAACGTGAGCTTTGCAGTGGGAAAGGGGCAAAGGTTGAATTACTGTTCTCAGAATACAGATCCCAAGCAATGCACTCCTCACCCACTTGTGGCCCACTGCACCAAGAACTTCCCCAGCCTCAGCTGTGCCAGTAGCACACAGAAGAGCAAACCTGCAGCTGCACCACCCCCAGCTGAGACCAGCTGGCACCTGCTGAGCAAGCAGGTCTTTTGGATGGGCCAGAGCAAGCAGGGGTCTGCTTCATCAGCTGCTGTACTAAATGGGCCCTATGTAAGGCAATAAGCTATGGCTGAAGTCAGAGTCATTCTGCTAAGCAGTGTGGTTTGTAGTTAGGTTGTTATCCTTAATGGCAAGCCCCTTGTGTGTGTTGTGTTCTCAGGCTCTAGCTCTAGCCAGTAGTCTAAACCATTTGCTTGATTTTTCTGTATCATCTAGAAGTGAGCTATGCCCTGCTCTTCCCTAAGCCTAGGAGGGGGAAGGTATGTGCTTGGAGGGAGCTCTCTGCTGGAGAGAGAGACCCCTGTCAATGCCCAGCTGTTTGGTCAGACAGGAGCATGTCTTGCCTGAAGTGCTCTGTGACTTTCTCTTTCAAGCACAACTGCAAGGCTGTCCCCCCCCATATGCAGTCATCTAGCATTCCTGCTGACAGCACAGGGAAGAACAGTAATAGGCAAGAAATTAACTTTTAGTTTATTTTTGAGGTAGTTTGATGCCGGAAACAGTGGAAAGGGAAAGCACCGTGTGGCTACCCAGCTCTGTTGGCTCCATCTTTGACGTGGAGGTTAGGAGCTTTCACACTTGCTGCTTGCCAGGCAAATGCTGAGTGATAGAGCAAAATCCAAGAAGACACTCTTAAAGTGTTCTCAGCAAATGGCACTGTAAAGTGGGCTGGATATAACAAAACTGGCATTAACAACGTAAGTTATTCTTCTGAACATAATCACAAAAATTGTAAGCAGCAGCTCTTGAAATGCTCCTGCATTTCACTCGGTGAGAAACAGCATCACTCCGCAGATGCCTGCGAATTCTCATCGAAAGCCTGTTGATTATCACAAGTTTTCCACTAACTTTGGAAAGGCCTTGGAGTTGGCTTGGACCCGTGCTTTTGGAAATAAACTTGGAGAAGGGGATGGGGTGATGTGATCAAGCAGACAGTGGAAAATTTGTGCAAGCTGAAGGCTGAATTTTGGTGAACAGAGAGAATGCCACATTAGGAGGCAGGGATGTGGAGGCCAACTTTGTGGGCAGACACCCTGAAACAAAGGAGGGAATTTTTTTTTTTTTTTTGTAGACTTCTATCAAGGCTTTGCTTTTCTTGCTATGGAAGCATGCTGCATATCTGCATGAAGCCAACAAACAATGACAGCCGGTTTATTCAAGCATTTAGCTGTGTGTTTAATAGTGCTGTTGTTTCCAATTTGATATACGAGATCACTTCTAATGCTACCAGAAGCAATATGTTACACACGTACCTGGGGAAGCCCTTTCTGCTGATGTGGAAATGAAGCCAGAAGTAGTGCAGAGGCTGGGACTGCTCTTCTTTGTCATTGTGAGCCTGAACAAAGGAGCAGAGTATGTACGTTGTTATTAAAGCACTTCCAACACATCTGATCAGAACCTATGGATTAAATTGCTGAGGCTGGTGTGAGACAGGCTGAGCCACCCATCTATGACCCACAGATCTCTGTAGGCAGCGTGCACCTAACAAAGACGGTGTGGCGCAGCGCTTACCGCGGCCTGACTTCTGGGAGGAATGGCATACAATTTCTTTGTACGTCTGCTGTAATAGTGAATGATGATTTTTTTTTCTTTGAACTTTGTCCAAAGTTCATCTCTAAAACAAACTTTAGTCAAACCGCACATATTGACTTCTCAACAGAATAAACATGCTGAATCTGTAACACTTAATCACTGGCTCTAACTTCTTTTAACTTGTTCCTTAATCAGAAAGATAGAAAAACAGTGAAAGAAATGGGCTCAGTATTTACATTTGTGGTGCATCTGTCAAACACTCTGAAGGACAAAAGCAGCTCCAGATTGTGTTGTGGGCAGCTGACTCCAGCTGAGTGCCTCCAACTATCACAGAAGGGAAAACCAAACCCCAGGTTGGTGGCTAGGCTGCAATGTTTGGCCCACAGTGAGAAGTGATGCAGGAGAAACCTGAGATGTTGAGGTCTTTCATACAATCACACAATCGTCAGAGTTGGAAAGGACCTTTAAAAGACATCTAGTCTCTGTAACCAACAGGGATACGTACAGTTAGAGTGCTCACAGTCCAGCCTGACCTTGAATGTCTCCAGAGATGGGGCATGCACCACCTCTCTGAATAGCCTGTTTTAGTGCTTCACCACCCTTGTTGTAAAAAATTTACTCCTTTTATCCAATCTAAATCTACCTTCCTTTAGTTTGGGACCATTTCTTGTTGTCCTCTCACAACAAATCCTGCTAAAGACCCGTCCTTTCTTGCAGCCCCCTTTAGATACTGGAAGGCCACTCAAGACTCCCACAGCCTTCTCTTCTGCAGGCTGAACAGCTTCAGCTCACAAGGAGAGGTGTTCCACCCATTGGACCATGTTTGTGCCCCTCCTCTGGACATGCTCCATCTGATCCATGTCTGTCCTGTGCAACTATCCCAGAGAAAGGTGAGCGCTGTGAGGTGAGCAGATGCCTGTTTGGGTGACTCCACTTGGGTTCTAGACCTTTAAGGTTTGTGTTTTCAGGCTCTCGTCTACAAACTGGAAACTTAATTCCATTCGGGGGAAAAAGCAAAAAAAAAAAAAAAAAAAACAAGCAGTCTGAGTTCCTTACGTAATTACGGGAGCCCAGGAGCTGCCGCTTTAAGAAAGCCGTAAAGTTCCCCGGCAAACCCCCTCCTCCCCCCAGAACTTTGACGGGAAAGCGGTAATTAAAACCGAACGCGGCTCGGTGCCGTGCGTTTCGCCGGTTGATTTTATTTCGCTATTTCGGCGTGACGGCAGCGGCTCGGACGCGGCCCTGTTGCATCAACTTCCTGTGAGGAGCCCCTCGCGGCGGGGCCCCGCGCGCGCGGCTCCTCCCGCCCGCGACCCTGCGTC